CCTAAGCCTTGAGGATAGATGGGCACCCTGCCCTTGGGTTGCAAGGGCACCTCACCATCAATGGGTGGGTGGCAAGATCAAATTGAAAATTCAAATGATGCGACCTAGAGAGTGAAGGCAATTACAGTTTCTAACTGGCCTGACCCCAAAGATGTAGGTACCTCGCCCTTGCGTGCTCTTGGCTTGACCACTCATCCTACCATCACTTTTTTAAGCATCAGCACTCAAAATTAGGAAATATATTTAAATTACAATAGGAAATAAATCTCATTTATAATAGGACTAAATAAATCGTAAGTAATCAAAATCCTAACTAAATAAGGAGTCGCCAACACTCTCCCTCAAGTTGGGGCAAAGATATTCTGCATGCCCAACTTGACAAGCGAGTCATAGAACACCATACTTGACATTGACCAATCGAACAACTATAGAGAAGGTCTTGTCATAAAAACCCTAACAAATGGGGAACATAGATGAACACATAAAAGTAGAACACAGAAACCCTACGAGCACGGCAATAGGTAAGGCAGAACATAGAAACCTTGTGAGCACGGTAGTAGATAAAACAAAACACACAAACCTTGTGAGCACAGTAGTAGGTAAGGCAGAACACAGAAACCATGTGCGCATGGCAGTAGATAAAGCAAAACACAAAAACCCTATGAGCACGGTAGTAGGTAAGGCAAAATACAAAAACTCTGTGAGCACAGCAAAGGCAAGGTTTCCTAAAAATAGGGTCAGCCAAGGCAAAAGCAAAGCAAGGGCAAATAAAGGCAAAGCAAAGGCAAAGGGCACAACCACATCAACAGCAACGACAATGACCACATCAACTGAAAGCAAAGCAAGCAAAGGCAATGTTAACGGTTGTAGTAGCGGCAACGGTAATAGCAACAACAACAGAAAATGACAATGACAAATTCTTCCATATCAACTTTCGCTTATTCACACAGACATAACTTCTCTTCAATCCTCCTCTCCCCCTAAAAAGAATGGGTTGTCAGAGTCAAGAAATAGGCAAAATCTCCATAAGAAAGAGAAACATATCTTTTTCACTCCCCCCACCCCCACCCCTTGACGAGGAAGGGAGGAGAGCATTTCATTTACGTGGAGAATGCAAGCACAGGTCACAAGAGAACCTGGCTTTGATACCAAGTCAAACAAAGTAGACAAATATTCAATTATGCTCATATATGCTCATATTATTATTCTTCTCCAATATGGAGGTATTTATACAAGTACAAAGATGTGTTAACCCTGAACAAAATAGGAAATATATCTAAATTACAATAGAAAATAAATATAATTTATAATAGGACTAAATAAATGGTATGTAACCAAAATCCTAACTAAATAAGGACTTGCCAACACTCCCCCTCAAGTTAGGGCAAAGATATTCCGCATGCCCTAACTTGACAAACGAGTCATAGAACACCATACTTGACATTGACCAATCGAACAACTATAGAGAAGGTCTTGTCATAAAAACCCTAACAAATGGGGAACATAGATGAACACATAAAAGTAGAACACAGAAACCCTACGAGCACGGCAATAGGTAAGGCAGAACATAGAAACCTTGTGAGCACGGTAGTAGATAAAACAAAACACACAAACCTTGTGAGCACAGTAGTAGGTAAGGCAGAACACAGAAACCATGTGCGCATGGCAGTAGATAAAGCAAAACACAAAAACCCTATGAGCACGGTAGTAGGTAAGGCAAAATACAAAAACTCTGTGAGCACAGCAAAGGCAAGGTTTCCTAAAAATAGGGTCAGCCAAGGCAAAAGCAAAGTAATGGCAAATAAAGGCAAAGGGCATGACCACATCAATAGCAACAACGACGACCACATCAACTGAAAGCGAAGCAAGCGAAGGCAATGTTAATGGCAGTAGTAGCAGCAAGAGTAATAGCAACAACAGCGGAAAATGACAACGACAAATTCTTCAATATCAACTTTAGCTCATTCACGTAGACATAACTTCTCTTCAATCCTCTTTTCCCCCTGAAGAGAATTGGTTGTCGGAGTCAAGAAAGAGGCAATATCTCCATGAGAAAGGGAAACATATATTTTTCACTCCCCCCCCGCCCCCTCTTAAGAGTAGGGGAGGAGAGCACTTCAATTGCAAGGAGAATGCAAGCACAGTTCACAAGAGAACCTGGCTCAAATACCAAGTCAAACAAAGTATGACAAATATTCAATTATGCTCATATTATTATTCTTTTTCAATATGGAGGTATTTATACTAGTACAAAGGTGTGTTAACCCTAAATAAAATAGGAAATATGTCTAAATTACAATACGAAATAAATCTCATTTATAATAGGACTAAATAAATGGTAAGTAACCAAAATCCTAACTAAATAAGGACTCACCAACAAAGGGAACAAGGGTTTATGAGGGATCACATGGCTTTGTCTTCCAAATATCATCAAGCTTTTAGGCAAACTTGGTGGAGCAAAATAAACTGTTTCTCTTTCCATCATCTCTTTTCATTTTCAGTGGTGAGCAACTGGTAGGCAAGATTTGTGATTCAACAGATAGGAAGTTCCAAGTTGGTGTGAACTTTCCCACACAGCCTTTTCTCAATTTTGTACTTCATCCACAAATCAGTATTGGGTCCACATATAGTATGTTGAATTTAGTCACCTGCAGAAGAAAATGCATGTCTTCCAAAAGGATTTAATTGTTTTAATGTTAATCTGTTGGCCTCATGGTTTGTAAAGACAAGCCCATGTGGTTTTCCATGATATATGAAGCAAAATTGACAAGTCAAACCTAAACTCATTATTACTTTATCACCATAGCAGCATTTACGAAAATGTTAACAATTTGTTATCACCATAGTAATTCAGCAATTTCAATCATTTATAGTTTCAATCATTTACAGAAACTGAAACTAATTATTACTATATGTGGCAAGTTGTCTTTTGAGAGAAATAATTGGTTGGCAGGCAGCATATGTTCCTTTAGGGAAATTAATATGCTATGTCGTAAACATTTTCCACACAAGTGATTTTTATTTTTATTTTAAAAGCATAGACTATTTGCTGAAGAAATTGTTTTTTTTTAAATTTTTTTAAACAGCTCCTAAAGGCCAAGAGACATTTCATCAAAAAAAA